GAAAAATCGCAGGCGCGCAGTCCCCGGGGGAGAGACGTAGCCGGGCTTCGAGCGCGATCGCATCGCAAAAGCAACGAATCCTCGGACGAGAAAGGCCGGTCCCGATGGACGAGGCTGCGCCTCTCGCGGCATAATTGAAAAGGGGTGAGAGCTGGCGCGCGCTCGCAACGGGGGCATTAGGCTAAGCCGCCGTCGTTCACGGACCGGCAATTACGGAAAAGTCGCCGGCCCCGTCCGCCTCTGTAATTTCGCGCGAGAGACGAGCGGCTCCGCGCGTTCCGCAGATTGCCATCTGACTTTGGTCGCGCGGCCACGGGCAGGTAGCTTTGTGACGTGGCGCCTAACCCTTCGGCGCAGGTGGCACCCTGCGGTAGATCGCTTGCCCTTTCTTCGGCGTGGGCGCGATCCCACTGAATTTCTCGCGTTTCTCTTTTGTTTCTTTTTTTCTACTTTTCTCTTTCTTTTCTTCTCCTTGGGGCGAGTGGGGGAACGACGCACGAGGACACGAAGATGTGTTTTGATTCTGACGCTTATTGCCGATGACTCAGCCGCGATAATACGCGCACGGCGCATTGTTACGCCGGTCCCTTCATCTTCTTCGCTCTTGAGTACATTACGTCCATTATGAGCTCAGGTGACGCTTTCACGAGGCCGCTGCTCCACGAGTGGTGCGCGGCGCACTCCACGAAAACACGAGTAGTCGTAAACGAGAGAGAAAAAAGAAACTGCCAACGGCGAGCAATTCGACCCTGATGAATAAGGTTGCGCTGTCGAGAACTATTGGAATTTCATTAGACTTGATAAATATCCGTCTGAATAAAAACTTGTAATTGCATCTTGACGACGAGCAACTAAATGCCTGTTGTTCGACTTTTCGTCACCGAATACCGGGTTTTGGTAGAGTGCCAGACAACCGTAGCTGATTTCATTACACGAGAGGTTAAATTTAGAAAATTATCAAGGTTTTAGCGTAGTCGTTCATCGTCATCGAACGCAAAGCGTCGTTCGGTATTTTTAAGTCTGCAGACAATTTGTCAAATTGCGAAAACACTTCACCGCATCATTCGGAAATGTTCAAGACTCGATAATACGAAGAGTTCGACATTTCGAGATCCAAATGTTTCCCGGTGCTCGTGAGGCAGCCTTCGCGAGAGAAACTGGACGAAAGAAGATTGCGTGGCGCAACTTATTGTTCGGGGTTAGAAACTGGCCGTGGCTTTGTGTCAGAGTTTGTCCTACATCCTCGGCAGATGCATGCACATTGCATTACGGTAGCATTACCAGTCCATCGAAATTCAAAGCTCTTTCTCAGGGGGTGTGCACCCTCGATCTCGCTGCACATCTGCCGCGGGCGAAATTTCGGTCATTGCCGCCTGAATTGTTCCAAGTGTCCATTGTTTCGTGACGTATTCAAAGTTTATTTCCGGGCGTACGCGGGTCATCGGCGAACGCCGCGACGCAGCAACGGAGTCGACGTCTCAAAGCAGCCCACGCGAGAGCTGATGCGCATAAGCGACGGACGAGCCAGTCGGATGCACTTTACCCTGCAACGGGTACGCGCGACCGCGATCAGCTGCGCGCGCGCGCGCGCGCAAAAGTCGACAAAGACGGCAGTGTTTCCCAGCTGCGGGGGCGAGGGGAGGGGGCGGGGAAAGAAAAAATAAAGAAGCGGCAGAAGGAGAGAAGACAGGCCGCGCTCCTTTTGCGTGTGCGCAAAGGGGGCAAAGAGTGATGGCTTCCTTTCCGGCGAAAAGCGAAGGCTCTCCGGTTGCAGCATAGCCACCACCGCCACCACACCAACTGGACAATGGTCCCGGACAACCGCGCTCGCTCGCGCCGCGGGAGATTACTAGACGACACAATTTCACGTTTTCGTTTTTGTCGCTCTGCCTCTCTCTCTCTCTCTCTCTCTCTCTCTCTCTCTCTCTCTCTCTCTCTCTCTCTCTCTCTCTCTCTCTTTCTCTCTCGCTCTCGCCATTAAGACGCTCAGTGCCGATAAGTCAGCGGAGCGCGCGCGAGCCCACGGTTCCTGGAAATCTATGACGGCTTCTTTCGCCGATAGCGTTTACTTTCTTCGCGCGAGCGGGTCGATCGGCGTGGAAGAGGTGCAAGATCGATTCGCGCGTCGCCGAGAGGAGTTTCCACGGGGGAACGGCGCTCGAAGCTGCGCGCCGAGATAGGCATCGAGGTTGCAAGCATGTGGAAGCGACAGATCTGGCATTCCGGCTTATCTCATCGGGCGAGCGATAAAGTGTGCGACAGCTCCTGACCCTGGCGAGAAGAGCCAGGCAGGGGCCCCCAAAAGTCAAAAACCAGCACATTACGAGCCCGTGCACGCTGCCTTCTACGACCAGCCCTCGCCTTTCACGCTACTTTCTCGGTGGTCGAGTTAGGGCGAAGGGTTGCACGCGCGGCGACCTATAAATCAGTCGGCCGGGAGTACCGCTACCGAGAATTTTTCAACGGAGCCTCCTCTCTCTTTCCCACTCTGGCCTGTGTGCAGTTAGGATTTTTTTTTCTGCGATTCTCGGTAGGAGATGCGCTTACTTCTTTTTGTTGTTGTTGCTTTCGGGGGGTGGATCGCCTTGGAATGCGAGTTACGGTTTTTGGCTTATTGAAACGAGGATAATTTACGATTGTAGGTCGATGATATTTCCCTGAACTACATCGTTTTTTCCTTCATTTTCTCGAAGGAAACACAATGTTCGCGAGCGAGCGATTTTCAGGATGTGTGCTTTGATTTGTGATGTGAAAAAATTTAAATAGCAGCCGTTAAAAGGATACGAGAAAGAACGCTCATCTTCGCACTTTGTGCCGGGTTGCGTAACCTCGAGGAAGAAGAATAAGCGAGAGCGCGCCTCGACTCGACGTCCTTCTTAAAAATCACCACGCAAGCGGCAACAGCATCGAGAACCATTCGATCCATTTTCATCCAGATCAATAAGCGTCTCTCTTTCTCTCCCGCTCCGCGTGAAACTCCAATACAGACGCGCACAATAAAAAAAAAAAAAAAAGAAAAAGCCGCAATGTTTTGGCATCGGAAAACGTACTCGCGCACAATGTACAAAAGCCTCTCAGTGGCAATGCGTTTTCGCCCCCTTTCATCACATCGAAGCGCGCGGCAGCGCTAATGGAGGCGCGCCGCTGCGCCGAGGACTCATTGAAAGGTGGTAGCACGTGAAACGCGATCGCGACTGGGCGCGCGCGAGAGAGAAAGGGAGCTTTAATCCGCCTACGCGTCGCAGAGTGAAGTGGTCACCGAAACCGATCGTAAGCGCAGTTTCGCGCGTCGAGTCCGTTCGCCGTCTCGATTCGACGACCGCAAATGGAACATCGATCGCGCGAGCTGCTCGGCCACTCGAGCGCTCATTACCCCGTCGCGGTCCGCGATGGACTTTGCCTGCGCACAGCCTCGATCCCCAACCAAAACAATCGAGCGGTCTGCGCGACCCGTCCTTCCTATATTCACGCTTGCGTAGGCGCTCAGATCTCTCTCTCTCTCTCTCTCTCTCTTTTATTCGATCGCGCCTTCAAAGGGGTGTCAAAGCGCTTGCAGCCACCGACGCGATTGCGTGGTATAAAGGAGCCTCATCACGCGGAGATTTGCTCTCTTCAAAAAGGGTTTCCTCTCTTTCTCTTGGTCGTCCGCTGGGAAAGCAAAGGATTACGGGATCTCGCGACGCTCGGATTAAAAGCTTCTTTCTTTTCTTATTTTTCGCGGCGGGAGAAAGAGATGAGATTTTATAGTGCTTGAATTTCCAGGCTACAGGAATCGAGCTGAGGTACATAGACGAGTGACGCAGCGATGATTCCTTTTTCCACAATTGACGCCTGTCACCACTTACCTAAAAATGCGTTGCATCAAACGAATGGAAAAATAATGTCGGATGTTACGCGAGAGATTATTGTAATTACTTTAGCGATGCTCACACGAATCGAAAATTATTTGATTATTTGGTGCTGTGATGCAAGTCATTCGTATCGACAGCACTCGCAGGCTATTAACGTTTCTGTCGCGCGCGCATGCAAGATTCCGCGCAACGAAATTCGCGCTCGGCCGACACCTCGCGATGGCCGGTGCCACGCCTATCGGCAGCCTTAAAATTAATTTTTCGGCTTTCGACAAAGCAGGAAGGGCTCCGAGCGTTCGGCAACTGCACTCGCGGCGACAAGAGAAAGCCATCATCGCGATAAAAATCGTCCAGACAGTTGACTGCAGCAGGCAAAGAAAGAAGCCGAGAGGATACACACGCGAGACGGAGAAAGAGCGAGCCGAGTCGGCTATTCTTTCGGTCGCAGTCAATTATCGCGGCGCGTGCTGGCGCTGGCCATTCTTCTGGAAAAGAAAAGCTCTCGCGTGCGAGCATCAGCTGCCTCGGCCCATAAATATCCTTCCTTCTTCTTCTCCTTTTTTTCCAGCCCTTTTTTTCCACGGGCTGGTCAGCGGCGCCAGCAGCGCCCGTTAAACTCTTCCCCGAGTTTTCGCGCCACGTGTTTCGGAAATTACGAAACCGAGGGAGAGGAAGTGCCCGCCGCGGTAAAAGCGCCCCCGCTAGATTGAACAGGCTGTGCACCAAGTTGAATTATGACGGCCCGGTGCGCGCATCCAGACAAATGCATCCCGATCCCTCGTCCTACTCTCACCTACATATATCTCTTTACTCTAAACGTTTTGACTTGTGTGTTTTTCATGCTCTCTGTTTCACTTTTACTCAAGCTCCATGCGTCTCTTGGCTAACTATCGCTTTCTATAAAAGCAGCTCGTTTTCTCCGATTACTATAGCGTAGATGTTACGCTGCGCTTTTAAGCGATTCAAGGGAGGAAGCCAGAGTAGACGACACATTGTAATCTTCAAGAATATTCAACGTGTCGAGATATTTTGCTCGAGTTATTCATAGAAACATCGAGAAAAAAAATTGTTTCAACTGCAATAAAAACTTATCGTGGTATTAAAACGAACGCCGTACTGACGGTGTATAAAAAAAAGTATATACAAGTGCGTCCACAATTACTCGAGTAGAATTTGCGCTTTGGCTTTGAATTTTTCGAGATTAGTTTATTTTTTATTGAAAATCACAAAAATGACGACTGCATTTTACTTTGTATATTGCTTCGCTATTTTCAGTAAGTCAACAAAGATTTTTAAATTATGCTAATTAATGTTCTAACATTTTACTTATCGGATCGGCAGATAGCAAACTGGTATTTTCGAATGCAGTACCAATAATGGGATACCGCGTGCAGAGAGCCGAACCCCGCGAGTTCGATTTCGTAGTCTCGATCAGTACAAAATCCGAGCCAGGCGATTACGAAGAAGACCATCACGTGTGCGGAGGAGCGTTAATAACTACGATGCATGTACTAACAGCAGCGCATTGCAAATGTGAACGACCTAACACCGTTGATGATTACACTGTTAAAGTAGGTCATGATTTACGAAATTGGGAAGCCAATTTCAGTATTGCGTCATGGCAAAACTTCAAAAAGTGTTGTTGTGCTTTGCTCAAACGACAAAATACGTGCTATGACATAGCTGTAGTTACGGTAAAGTAGTCGCCATACAAGTCTTGAATATCTAATTCTTATATACACGTGTAAATGTCGTTCGATAGCTAACGGAAGACATACGGGCGAAAATAGCCAGACAAGTAGGATTAGCATTGCTAAACTATTCACCGATAGAATATCTATACAACAAAAGTGTGACAGCTACTGGCTGGGGCGAAAAGCTTAATGTGGAACACCCACGATATTTGCAAAAAGCAGCGATGAGAACAATAACTAGGGAAGAGTGCCAGAGGAATATCGACAACGCTCCAAAAGTTCCAGGATTGGATGGAAATTTACGGACAAGACATATTCTGGAAGACGATATCATTTGTAGTAATGGTAATCCAGTACCGGGAGATGCACCCTACATAACACTCGGAAACGTTAGTTATAGTTTAATTTTGTAACATTGAAATTATGAATACCGATAAATACTCCAGTACGTTACTTTCAGGGTGACAGCGGTGGTCCTCTTATCATCGAGAATAATCAAATAATGGCTATTAATCAAGGTAGTATACCAGTGGAAGGTCCTCCTTATAGAGCATACGAGCAATCATTGCACGTTGTTTTTTCGCCTTATCGAAAATTCATTGAAGATCAATTGAAAGGGACAGAAGGACAACGAGAAATGTTTGGATGTTTTGGAACAAGTTCATTTTTACGTCTTTAAAAAGTTATTATAAATGTACATTTCTATAAGTTAAGCTCGAATACTTACAAGGAGCCAACATTTTTATCAGCAAGTGAAAAAAAAACCAAAAAAGTAAATAATTTGTTTAACTATTAGAAATGATTTGGCTTTTAATGTTATGACATCCTGTAGTATAGAAGCAGAATTTGAAGCCGATAAGTAACGGGTAATAAAATGCATTTATCGCGTTGGTAAATTACTAAGTAGAAAAGATTCCAGTTTGAAATATGCACTCAACGTGTTTTTAGCTTCTTTTACCTGTTAGTTTTCTACGCTAAGTACACAAGTCTCATAAGACGAGAAAAATAATTATAAAAAAATAAATTTCGGAAATTCGACGAGGTGAGCATTGCGATCAGTAACAACGAAGCATCGCACCAGAAATAGATTTCACGAAGCCTCGAGTACATAAATAAGCTGGTGTGCATCATTTAGTCGTAAGTTAAGCTGGCTGGGGTCTTTTAGCCATTCGGTATTTTCAGAATATTGTCTCGCTGTGCCTCGAGCTCTTCCACGATTAACCTTGCACATTACGGAAAGAGAGTAGCTTAAAAGCGTCGCGCCCATTATCAATCCTCGGGCAGGCGGTAATGACAAAAGGCTCGACAGAGTTAAAACCGGCGCTCCACGGCTTCGTCACGAACCCTGGATTTGACGAAATCCTCGTTTCTCTCCGTTCCTCGCTTATTGCGGACGGCTCGTCGCGTGAAATAAGCGTCGCACTTGCGAGATAACGTCGGATAATCGGAACGCTCGGCCGTTGTACACTCGTTTGCACGGCTTGACCACCGCGTTAAGCAGTCCTTTCAGCGGACTGAAATCCAAATCGATGTTGCACGTTTATTAACTGATCACGCTTGTCCCTTCTCTTATCGGCCAGCTGAAAACACGCAGAGCTGTCCGATGCGATCTTCATCACCGAGGAATGCACACTTCGGCTCTCGTTTTCGTGAAAGGAAGAAGAAAAGATCGATCACTGAAAATCCGCTGCATAGCTAAGTGGCGGGCGCATAGCGAAGACGTCGCGGTTGGCCGGCGCTCGCGAGGACGAAGACGCCGTGCCGGGGGTAAAGCAACGAAGAAAAAAGGATAATTGTCGGGGGATGCTGGGCGCTGCCTCCGCAGCTGGGTGCACGTGCCACGCTCCACCTGCTCTCGAGTGCGCACGAGTCCTAATCTTTCGCCGGAGATGCGAGCTTCTTTGGCGTGCGCGCGAGCAGGGTGGAGAACTCCTCTCTCGATGCCGTCCACAGATAAAAACCCAGTGCCAAGTTCTCCCCCAGGAACTGATCGCGCTTCCAAATACATTTTTTCTCTTTGCTTTTTTATTTTTTCATTTTTTTCTTTCTTGTTGCTCTTTTCGATCGAGTGCATCTGCCATGCATATGTTGATTCGTCGCACTCGTTTCTTTCCGAAAATCAGAAGAAACCAACTTCTACTACGTAGGAATGAGAAAGTGAAAGTGATCTCTCTGCCATTGGACATTTCCCTCTCGATACGTGCTACTGCTACGTCTCGGCCATCTCCCCCTCTCTCTCTCTCTCTCTCTCTCTCTCTCTCTCTCTCTCTCTCTCTCTCTCTCTCCCCCTTTCTCTTTCTCTGCTTTTCGGACGATCGGTATCTTCTTTAGCTCAGCTGTCGCGCTTCATTAACGAGCGTGCGCGTGTACGACTGGGCTTTTCTCTTCCGTACGATCGTAAAAATAATTTACGCCTACGTCGAAGTAGCGCGTGTCTCTCTTTTATTTCGTGCCGGAAGAGAAAAAAACGACGTGCTCTCGTCTTTTTTCGGATAAACCGTCCGTGCAGTCGCGACTGGTTTGCAAGAGGCGCCCACGAACGACAAGTCAACACGCATATTTTCCGCGAAAGAATAGGAGAACGCGGGCACGGCGGACACACGTGCCGCGCTGAGAAAGCTCCTCGCTCATCCCACCGTCTGTCCGCTCTCGAGGGCCTCTGGCGAAAGGGCATCTGCGCGCGAAAGCGTGTTGGCCGGCGTAACAGCTGCGTTTTTTTCCTTTTTTTCGTGAGCCAAAAAACGAGCGGGCAAACGGTCTAATCAACGATGAATGGGCGCCGTTAATTTGATAATCAAACGAGAGCGGCTCCGCTTCTGCTCGACGAGAGACGCGCACGCACGCGCGCGCGCGCACATATATATAGGGAGAAACGAGGAAAGACGCTGCAGTTCCCATCGAGTTTTCGCTCGACAAAAACGTCTCAATATCGCGTCGACGCAACGAGGGACAAAAAAGGATTAAGGATTACGATCGCTATCGAGTCGGAGCAAATTTCAACGCGCGCGCGCGCGAGCGCAGGGAGAAGAAAGGGGAAGCGATCGATATTTTCTTCTCATCTTCTTTTTCCTTGGCCTGCCTCGCGAGATTTCAATCTACGCACTCTGTATACGCGCGCAGCTCGGTCCAGCGGGCGTCAACAATGCGCAATCCTTTCGTTGGCCGGGGGGCCGAAGCCTCTTTAGCCGGCACGTCGAGGGTGGCTGCAGGCGCGGACAGGTACGGCCGGAGCAGCGACGCTTTTCCACGGGCTCGCTCATGCGAGTGATCGCTCGAGAATTCCGAGGAAAAACTGCTCGCCGCCGGCCGGGAGAAAGAGTACATGGGAATTCTCTTTTTCATTTCGCACGCGCTGCATTAAAAGGTCCTTTAAGGCCAGACACATAAAAAGAGAAAAAGAGAGAGAGAGAGGGAGGGCGCATTGAATTTCTTGAGATGAAGTTTACCTTTCGCCTCGTGTTTGTGTACCTTTCAGATTGATTCGGTAAAGAGAATTTCATTCGAGGCAAATTACTCGTTGGCGGATATAGAACTCGCTCGGCAGCATTAGTAATTCACGATCGTCGTTCGTTTAACGGTCGACACGGAAGAACATTAATCACGTACGCTTTTTAAAATCGTAGCTCCCACGAGAGCATATGGGAAATATGTTAATCACGTGTGAAAAGCTCCGACAGCTCGGGTAAGCAGACCGAACCCTTTTGGACGGTGAACGAAAGCATCAATCCTTTTTTCTTTCTCCAAAGACCTTCTTAATTTTCATCGGCCGTCATGTGGGATGCCCCCTCGACGCTGTAGACGCAAGAAAAAAAACCGAGAAAAAAAGAGCAGACGGCACCGCTCTCTCTCTCTCTCTCTCTCTTTCTCTCTCTCTCTCACTCTCACTCTCTCTCTCTCTTTCTGATGTCTTGGAAGGGTTACATTGATTCAATACGACACCGAATATGTCTTTGTGTTTGTTTTTTTTCCCTCTTTCTAAATTATAGGGATGTGGCGTGAAAATGATATGTGATTAAATTCTATTGATATGGTAAACAAGATGTGTATGCAAAGTGGCATTAATTTAACTATCTTTCGTGAAACATATTTTGGTAGAAAAAAGCAAGACGCTACGTATTGAAATATAAATCGACAGTGTTTGGATCAATCGATCGACGAATGAATCATTATCCAAAGTGGAAGGTAAAGTAGCAGCAGCAGCAGCAGCAGAAGTAGTAGTAGTAGCAGCAGCAGCAGAGAAAATTCATCAAAGGAACTGTTTTAGACCTCCGGGAAATCCAACTTATTCGGGCGTATACAACGCGTCGATACGGTTAATAAAAAAAAACCATTAGCCGGGTCTTTATAAGATATTAGACGCGGCACGCTCTCGCTCGCGTTGGAAAACCCATAGTATTAATCAAGCGCCACCTTTCGAGCGCGAGTGCGGCGACTAGCCACGTGATAGATGAGGACCTCGTGGCAGCGCCATGTGGTCTTCTTCTTTAGACTCTCGAAAATAACCCTAATTTCGGGCAATATGTCGACGAGTACCAAAACAGGTTTGCGGAAGAAAAAAAAAACGTAACAATCTCGAGGCGAGTTCTGAGACTTCGAATTGCGATGGTTCGACTCGTCGAGTGGAAAGTTACGTTTAATTACGCAAGCCCGGCGCACGTAACATAATCATAACCAATTCCCCCAAGACGCGCGGCAGCCGTTCAACGCGCGCAAGCAACAAAAACGGGGCGTCCCTTTGGCGGTAACATCGCGAGCGTGTCATTTGCATGCGTAATGCTCCTCCTTCAATCGCTCTCTCTCTCTCTCTCTCTCTCTCTCTCTCTCTCTCTCTCTCTCTCTCTCTCTCTCTCTCTCTCTCTCTCTCTCTCTCTCTCTCTATTTATTCCACTCTTCTTTCCTCCCACGCGACCGGTACGCTCGCCACGACGTAATTGCAGTGTAACGTATGTATCGAACGCGCGCGGCTTTATACTTTTCCGATCGCCGAGCTCTATACACCCCCGGTTTGTCGATCTGTTATGCCCGCTCAGACCGGCGATAGCCTTTACGACGGCGTTTTTTCTTGTACGCTTCGGACTAACGTCTCTGTTTCGTCGGCGGACGAACGGACGTTTCGTTCGTCCCGACCTCGCGATGATTTTGTTGTCGGACGCGGTGGCATTATCGAGGGCTCCGCGAGATGCTTGGTGAAAAATCGAGAACACCCTGTAAAGAACTTGTTAACGAATCGTAACTCGCGGCATTTCTGTGAGAAAGTTTTCTGACCATGCAATAGTATTATTCAGTTTTACTCGACGTGTATTGCCTTTACTTTATTGCAGAAGGCTCGCGATATTTTCCCGTACACTTGTTAAATCACTAATAAAAAGCCGCCGCTATTGCGCGCGATAAGCCGTTCTCGGTCTTGCACATTTGCATTCTCGGGACACGCGCACGCTCGAAGGTATTGACAATCGAGCGATGACAGCAGTTTACGCCGAGTTGGAAAAATTCAACGATCCACAAGCTGTCCATCATCATTCTCACAACTTTTATTTTGCTCTTGCTAAACGGCCGAGGTAATGACAGTCGCGTGGCGCACGTGTAAACGCGCGTGTGTCGCGCGCGTGTTCTCACTCTTTTGAAGAATTAGGGGAGTATCGCACATGTTGCAGAACGCGGCAGACGCCTAAATTGCAAGGTCTCCTCGGAGCGTATCGACGGATTCAAGGTCTCGCTCCTTTTTTTTTCTCTTCCCCCTTTTTTCTGCTCGCTGCTCTCTTGTGCAGAACGCCAAGGCAAAGGAAGGAGACGAAAGAAATGAGCAAGTATCAATTTGCGTCTTTACAGGCAGCAACAACAGGTGGAATCCAGTGCGGTTCCGTTCACCCACTTACGCCGCGCGCATAACGGACTCGGATGCTTTTGCAAATTAAAAAAAACAGGAGACGCGTGCATGCCTCGATGTATAATTTCAAATACTCTATAGGAACTATCCAGCAAGCCGGCAATTAGACCCACATATCAAAGAAATAAGTGGAAGTTGCTGATCCATTCAAAGATTTTTTTCCATAGCATCGCGAGACGAAAGCGTTAATTAAAAAAGAAGAAGAAGAAGAAAAAGAAGACGATGTTAGTTAAGTACTATCATTCGAAAGACATGAACAATTTCTACGAAAATATTTTATTGTAACGTTATCGCGCGCTGCTCGACGACGTGACAGTTACACGAGGACAAGGCTTTGTTGGAAATACATGTACATTGCCATAACGAGCGATCCGTCAAATTATTAGGAAACGAGTGCTGCTCAAATGGCGAATCACGACGAGCTTTATCTGCATTAGTCACGGACGCGATGACGTCTATTATCGCGCTTGTAACCGGAGGTATAAATAGTAAGATAAACTCCGTGATAGACGAGTAACAGAACAGACGTTCGGAAATACGCAACTTCGCACACGTGAATATCCAGCAAGATGAAGTTGACCTCGTTAGCCCTGCTTTTCATTATCACCGTAGTCGTCCACGAGGTCTTCTCTGAAAGTGAGAATTTTCAACCTCCGTACTTTCGAGTCAAACGTCGACTCTGATCGCTGAGCTTCGTCTCAGTTCTGTTCGAAGAACACGCACTGAGCGATAACTCGCGGTCCGAATAATCCGTGGAGAAGGACACACTATATATATTATATATATAGTATATATAATATATATAGGAACATAAATCTTTATTATTATTATTATATATGTATCTTTATTAATATTATACTATCTAAAGAATCCACTGATACTCGCTGCGGACCATTGTATAGCCGTAAGAGACGAGGAATAGAGAGCGAGTATGGGAGCGTGCAAACATTTTACCGGTACGTTAAAAGTACAAACTGCTGCGTGGCATACGAATCAGCGTCGACTAATAACATGGGATTCAAGACTCAAAACGAGTGCGAAACCACTTGCATGCAAAGTAAGTATAAATTTTACAATTTTAATCGTCAATTCGTGATTGCTGCCAATCTCTATCTTTAACCAATTCTTCATTTCAGATCACACATGAGTCCTGTGAAACGGTTATCATGCAAAATTGAAAATGCATTAAAAATGTAACTTTAAAAGTCTTAATAAAAACACTAATAAACATGACGACAGCGTATTTATTCTGTCTATACATCGCTCCCTGCTGTTAGCAATGCTAATTATTTGTAACGAGCGCTTGTTCTCGTTCACCCCCATCGACAAAGAAAATTAAAAAGTAAGAAGAGTCTTCGCTCATCCAAAATAATCTCACACTAAGACTTTGACCTCTGCTGAAAATCAACGTACAAAGTTCAGTGAACACGCGAACAAGTGAACAACGTGAAGATGTTGGGCTTTACTGGATCTCGGTTAATTTCGTGAAAAGAAAGTAGAAAAACCGTTCATCGAATCACTTTTTGAAAACCTTTTCAATATTTGTCAAAAAAGAATGAAAATAATTAAAGACAAATTTAACGCTACTGGAACTTCACATGTTCGTAAAATGCTTGAAAACGTGCAAAAACTCTGCTTTACAGTGATTTGACGACATGAATATTACTTATATATCAACTATTGTAAAAACGTCTGTCAAAAAATAACATCACGTCATGTTTAGCATAGTTCCGAGTATTTTCATTTTCAAAAAATTTTTTCTTTTGGCACGTATGAACTTTTAATTGTCAGGCGATATAAAAAGTAGATACATTGTAACTCGTGACTACATAATTACTATGACAATTGCCTTGCTATCAGTTTTATTTCTTTAGAAGCTTGAAGATTTTATTAAGCGGTGATGACAATGAATTGCTATTCAGAAAATTTTCAAAAATTGTAAACACATTAGCTTTTCCATAGTTGTTCCCTAGTACAGCGCTTTCCAAGTGAGCCTCCAGTTCTTAATCGCGCGAGACAGCTTCCTCAGAAGCTGCACACTGAAAACAGGACGCAGCGAGCCTTTTCAACCGGAAAAGTCAAGACACTATAAATCTCGCCTCGTCGCGTCGTCTAGTGCTCTGTACTAACACGAGAAAGCGATCCAAAACAAGTCGCGCGCGTAAACCGTCATCATTCGGATATAGGCGCAGGTGTCGCGCGCACCCGGATAATCTCTCCAGGGGCCAGCGCCAGAAGACGAACAACTCGAGCCCTTTTTTTTTCTACGCGCATGTGCAACCGATGCCGAGGAAGCTACACTGCGCGCTTGCATCCGCCGCGCGACACGGAGAAAAAAAAACTTTAGGAGAGAAAACGAAGGGCTGGCTATCTCTTTCGTTCCTCATTGGAGTATGTCGTGGCGCGAAGGCTGCCTTGATTTCAGTGTCGCGGTCGGTTATACGTCTTCGAAGAATCGAAATCGCTAAGTAGGGGCATCGACGCGCAGTTCGTGATATTCTTTTACCGTCGAACGAGAAACGCACGAATAAAGATAATAGCACTTTAGAAGTATTCCGCCGAACAAGCTCCGACAGCAGTTTTCCATTTTCTTCTAGACCTTTCGGTAATCGTTGTTTTCCACGTCTGTAAAAAAAAAAAAAGAGGCTATTGTGTGAATGGATAGACACGAAAAAACACAATCACCTGCCTCAATTTGCCATCAAAGCACCTAACTAGAAAAACAAAAGACCATGCGGCGCGAGGGTGCGGCTATCACGGGTCCAGCGTTCGTGTGAAACTCGACAGCTCTCGCTTCCTACTATTTTCGTAACGGGCAGAGCGAGGAAGAGAACGGCGTACACTTGATGACTTCCGTCTCTCCTCGAGCGAGAGAGCGAGAGAGAGAAACGGAAAATCATCTCTCTGCTTTTTGAAAACAAGCTTCTGGTTTTCTTTGGCTTTTCCCTCTTCACCGAACAAATTTATTTTATGGGTCAGCCCGAGATTATTTGACGTGGCAGCGTCGATGACGGCTCGGAAGTGTCGAGATGCTAAATTGACTCGTGCTTTTTGGTACCGCGGAAGGCTTCTTCGGAAAACGATTTATCGTAATTATGTGTTTAGCTGTGAGCACTCAATTACCAAAACGCATCCGCGAAGTATTTGTTTTCACAGCCTAGCGGAATGACGTTGGCTGAAACACCTTTTTCAAGATCTTCAAAATAAAAAGGACCACGGGGCCGTGACGATCGGAAAAAAAGTCATTCGTCTAATTTCAAAAGATAAAACACGATCCAGATCGATTCTAACGCGAGCTTCCATTTCATTCTGAGGCGTACCCGTCATTGCGAGCGTCAGTTGTTACCTATCGATTCACCAGACGAATCACCTGCGAATCCACAGAATCGATCACGCGCAACCCCATCGTCATCCTCCGTCCGTCTCCAACGAACGAAAAAGCGTCCGATGCACATGCTGTCCCACGCGCTCTCGAAAGTTTCACGTAAAGGAAGGGGGGCGGAGAATGGAAAATCGCATAATCGATCGTCGGGGATGTAAAACCTGCAGCAAGGCGATCCCACGCTCTTGAAAGATGACGCAGCCCAGTTTTCGTAATCGATCCCTTTTTCTCTCTCTCTTGTCCGCAGAAATTGCGCCTGTTTTCCCACACACACATCCACGCGAGCAGACGCAAAAGCCACTTTGCATACGACGCGCAAGTGGATGATCCTTTCCGTATACCTGGAAAAAGGGTTGCGCGCTGGCGTAATATGTATAATATATGGATCCACTTCAACCCGTATTGTCCACGGGGATCCGCGCCGACTCTGGCCGGCGAAAGGGCCTGCCCTCCTCGTGAGAAAATCGCGCCAGCCCGGAACCTCTTCGTGGATTTGGGAAAATATTACGCTTTCGGAGCGGACGACTGGGACCAAAGGAGAAAATGTGTGCGCCTCTCGTGTTGTGCATATGGCTTTACTTATGCTCTATGGGCTGCTTATTTTCCCTTGTGAGAGACTTACATCGTTTTAAAATTATTCAAACGTCGCATATTCACAACTTTTACATTGTAACAACTGATCCGACATTTTGACGTTTGCATCGTTAGCCATCGACGTTATTTTGATGATATTTTTGATAACACGTGAAGAAATTGTCGATGCACGAGATGCTTGGAAGCCTTGTGACGAGTACATTTAAAACAAATAAAAATCAACAATAGCGAGCCTACGAGAGATGGTTTTCCAGCAAGTAAACAATTTCAATGATGATGCTTGTTTAAAGGAAATTATTGAAAGCCACAAAAACAATGGTACGGATAATTGCTACAACTTACTTGAAAATTAGCCATCAGGTAATTCGTAAGGCATGAACAGCGCTTAATCTTCCAACCCCACGCCGATGAGTTTGACCCCAGTATAGATCGCCGCGGACACAGGTAAAAGCACATATGTAGCGTGGGAAGTTCACCCCATTGTACCTGGCGTGGCTCTCCAGAAGGGGATGTACAGGGATAAACTTGGCCGGCAGCCTGACGCGTAATTTTCCTCGATGAGGCGCAATTTGCGTGTTTGCGCGCCCTTTGTTCGCGCTGACACTCCTTTTTTTCCTCGTTTCGCTCTTCTATCCCCGCGCTCCGAGGGGCGGCTCTCGAGTGTTAATAATGAATCGGTCTATCGGCTGCTGGGGTTAAACGATGATTTAGCGTTGCAACCTGTCATTCTTATGGATTATTGGTTATTTAGATGGGCCGCGTCGATTGTGGAGCGCAGCCGATCGCAACCGTGCGATTCGCGCGTTTTCATTTCAATATCGCTTGGTTGGTCGCGCCGTCGCCTCGGAACACTGAACAAGTTGAAGAGCCGGTCGAACGGAATGACAACTAGCGAGCATTGTTCATTTATCAAGCGCGTGGTTGGCCGTGGGAGAAGAATGAAGAAAACAATAAAGGGAAAGTCGATCGAACTCGCAAGGGAAGGCAAACGCTAGCCGCGGCCGCGGTGCAGGTTTCTCGGAAGAGCGCATCATTTGCGGAAACAATGAAGCTGCATATGTATATCTTGGGCTGTCAATAGCGATCGAAGGAGAAATGAAATGGATTTTCGCGCTTGAAAACGCACGCCCAGCGGGATCGCGCTCGTGCCAGTCGGTAGCCGGGTTATTTTCCTTTCTTTGGGCTTCTCGCTCTCTCACTCTCTCGCTCTCTCGCTCTCTTATTCTTTTGGCTTTTATGCAACCCGATTGTTCGGGCGCCCGAGATTCCGGGAACGAGCACTGGTCAGCGAAATCGCGTTATAGGGATGTTTTCGGTTTCGCACAGCTGACCTCCTGTCGGAGCAGTCCAGCGCCCTCCGGCTCCCGAACGAATCGCTGGGCCATTAATATTTGTTAGAGGCGGATTAGCAGAAAATTAAGGCCTCTCCGCGAGCGACCACACGCGCCCGCCGCAAGTTCGCGCTCGGCTCGCGCGGACGCGCCGGCCGACAGGTGACGCGCGCCGTGCCCGCCGACAAAAGCCCGCCGCGACTCGGCGCGATCGACGCGCGCGCTCGCGATACGAAGCCGAACGTAATAAGCTCGGCGAGAGCGCGCGGGTAATCGAGTTACCGGAGCGCCGGCCCATCTGTCCGTCATAATCGAGCCGAGCAACAAGACGAAGAAGAAGAAGACGACGACGACCGAGTTGCGTTATCGCGCGCGGCCATCGGATCTAGATCAGTCGCGGCGAGGAAAACCGAGAAGCTCTTTCGGGAAAACTCGGCCACTCGGATTTCCCCTCTGGCTCGCTCCTCCTTTTTGCGCGCACTGGCTTCCCACGCAACGCGCAGGTAGACGGGTGTTCCGTTTCACAATTAACAAACATTGCGTAACCGAATACGCCGAGAGCGAGCTTGACCAGCCAGAGAGCGCGCGCGAGAGGACAAAAGGGATGATCCGAGGGATGGACAGATGGAAGGCACGTACGCGACAGAGTCAACTCGGTTCCGGATTTCAATGCGAGAGAAGGGGCTGGCCGCGTAACTCGCCATGGGAAAAATGCTTCTCTTTCTTTTTTCTTTTTTTTCTTTCTTTATTTCTTTGACCCTCCTCGTCGTCGTCGCTGTATTCGGCGCTCAAGCGAGTTGCGCGCGAAAACGGCCGCGGGATAAAAGAAATTCGCCAGGTGAACTGGCGCTCGTAGGTGCTGCCCCATTTGCATTTTCGCACAATGCGTCGTTCTCCTTCGAGCGAATTTTAAGCAGCGCCGATCG